AAAATAAAAAATAAATAGATAGAGGTCAAGCATGGTGGCTCATATCTGTACTCCCAGCACTCAGGAGACTGAGGCAGAAGGAACAGAGTGAGTTCAAGGACATAGTGATTCTGAGAATAGTGACTTCAGGGGCAACCTGAACTAAACAGACCCTGTTCAAAAATAAAAAATAAAAAATCAGAGAGAGAGAGAGATTCTCTGGAGAATATGGATATTTATTGGGGAACAGCAGAGCACAGCTTTGGGAACACACAAGAAACCATGTGTGGATTCAAGGGGTTGAGGCAAGGGGAAGTTTTTAAAACAGAGAAGTATGACATCAGATGTTTTCAAACAACAGACCTAGGCCACAGAGAGTGACCGCAAGAATGGCGTCTCTCTGAGGTTGAACACGGAGTCGCTGGGCAGACGTCCTGTGGAAGGACTTTTTGTGGACAATCTCAGTGGCCCCTGTGCGAACCTGTGGTTCTGGCAGGGTCTTTAGTGACGGTCACTGCCAGGCAAGCACGTGTCAGACCCTTCCTTCAGAGCCTCCTGGACTTACTTACGTTACTGTTGTTTTAGGGCTGACACAAGCGACTCCACTTTTATTCTGACAACTCTTGCATTCTCCTCTCATATGGTAAAGAAATAATCTTTTCAGGTCGTGTTAAGGACTACGAAAAAGGGAAGCATGCAGAGAGGTAGGGAGCGGATGACCGTGAAGTGGATCTCTGGCGAGCTGGAGGTTGTGTGATCAGCAGGGGCCATGCAGAGGGAGAGCTGTGTGCTCAGAACCCAGAGGGGCAGGGGTGCGCTATGACAGGAATGAGCCCTGCATTTTATTTTATTTTTTAAAGTTTTTTAATTATTTCATTTTTTGAAACAGGTCTTGCAATGAAATTCATGCTTGCCCTGAACTCACTGTAAAGCAGAAGCTGGCCTCCAATGCTAGATGATCCTCTTGCCTCAGCATCCCCAGGGCTGGGATTCCCCCCAGCTGGCTGAGGAGCGCCCTCCAGGGAGCAGGCTCCTCCCTGGCAACCTGGGCTCAGTCCAGGCCAGGCAGAGAGCAGCCAGCGAGAAGCGCCCCGCCTAGCGGCCAAGCGGGGAACAGCAGCCACGGCCCGGAGGGAACCCTGTGAGGAGCTGCAGAGAGCAGCTGTCCTGGAACTTCAGCCCCTCCTAGCTGGGACCCCCTCACGCCCAGGCCCCTAGATTTACAATCCCCAGCAGCAAGTTCTCTGGCTTTCTCGATCTCACACGGAAACCATGGACGATGACGTGACTCAAGGCACCGAAATAGCCCAGCACACACTGGGCCTCCCCAAGGGTCCGTGTCCTTCCCTGGATCTGGCCTAGGCCAGAGCAGTGGGCTGCACGGGTTCCAGAACGGCCTCTGGGTCTGGGACCAGGGCAGCAGCTCTCACATGGCTGCTCTCTCCCTCACCTGGGGTTCACACCCTCTGGGACTCCTCTCCTGTCCCAAGGAGGGGACCAGGGGCCTGGGACGAGGTGCTGAGGTCGCTTCCCCCTGGACTTTGTACCCATTTTGTGCTTGCGAGCCCCCCTGCTGGCAGCCACTGGCTCTGGAGCCATGGCCAGGTCATGAAGTTCTTCAAATTTGTTAAGCGAATCTGGAAAACGATGACCTGCTGAGTGAGTTTCACACACTGCCTGGGCCTCAAGGTGCTGAGGGGAGAGTCCTGGTCAGTGACCACCATGTGGTCCTTCTCTTCCAGGCCTCTTGTGGCCAAACAAGACAGGTCAGGAGGAGGAGAGGGGACAGGGAGGCTGGGAGTCTGAGCATGGTGGCACAGGCCTGCAATCCCAGCTCTCCGGGACAGAGGCAAGAGGATTCCAAGTTCGAGCCCAACTTGGGCAACTTAGGGATTTACTAGACCCTGCCTCAAAATTAAAATATAATAAGAGCATGGGGATATAGCAACATTCAATTCCCACTATGCACAGAAGGAAATGGAAAAAACAAATAGCTGAGCACATAACCTACGGCAAAGACCCCGGGTTTGATCCCTGGCACCCCACCTCTCCCAAGGAAAAAACTCTTTACAGTGGTTTATGAGAAACCGTACAGCCGAGGAGGCCTGGGTGGAGAAGCCTGCTCCAAAGCCCCCTCCGCCTCCCCCGGCCCACACTCAGCTTCAGCCTGGCTTGGCCTTGCAGGGTCGCTGATCTGAAGGAACTGGGGGGGGGGCAGTGGGAGGAGTATCTGCTGCGAAGAGGCACTGTTCCCTCTATCAGTGCCCTGCAATGCCCAGAGGCCACCTTGGTTCTGCTCAGGGACTCATGTGGCTGGGGCTGGGCTGGGCGCAGCTGGGGAACCAGATACGGGTGGCCGATCAGCAGGACCCAGGGTCCAGCTTGGCCCTGGAGGACCGAGTGCGGTGTGGGAGGCCATGCAGCAAGAGCCACAGCCAGGGACTTAGCTGCCCTCTAGCCTGGCCATGGGGAGGTGCAGAGGGGTCTCCCCCAGGAAGAGCAGGGGTCTCTCACCAGACTGCAAAATTCAGGGACTTGAGGCTACACGGAGCCTCAGTAACAGAGGCTAAGGGGCAGCAAATTCCCAGGGAAGGGGAAGAGAGGAGAGGACAGAGGGAGGGGAAGAGAGGGAGGGAGACAAGAGTAGGGGGTGTGTGTGACACCTGTGAGTGGCAGTACTGGGCTGAGCCCAGCCAGGGGCAGCAGAGAGGAGCAGCAGGACAGCTTTTGAAGGCTCTGTTCACCACCCAGCTGCTGCTGCAGCTCGGCAGATTTAGCCCCATGGTGGGGGTCGGGGCAGCCTTTCCAGAGGAAGCCTTGGCACTGAGCTACATCCTCGTACCTCTATTAATTGTTTATTTTGGGACAAGGTCTTGGGAGGTCAATAACTTGCCCAGTCTGTGCTCCAACTGGAGACCCTCCTGCCTCAGCCTCCCAGGGAGCTGGCTGGTATCCCAGGTGTGCACCACCACACCCAGCTATCCTGAGCCTATTCACTGCCTGCCACACCTCCATACTTACAGGTACAGTGCTATCACCCAGCACCTACTCTATCTGTAGCAATAAGAGTCTATAGACAGAAAAAAATAGAATAAGCACATCCGTCATTAGTCTACACAAAAGAAATTTAGTTCAGTGGCACTGCGCCTGCCTCACAAGTGTAAGGTCCTCAGTTCAATCTCCAGTATCAAAATAAAAATGCAGCTTTTGCCTCTGCCGTTAGATTCATTGGCTAATCTTGACTGAGTTAAAACTTTATTAGAGGAATTTTTAGAAGCAATTAAAAGGACAAAGGTAGAGAGAAAAAAAAAGCCAGATATGAAAGGGCCCCAGACAGCACAAATGGCATAGGTGTTCACAGCTAAGAAAAGAATGCTCTCTAATGAAGATTAATCAGGGCCGGGGATGTAGCTCAATGGCACCATGCCTGCCTGGCAAGTACAAGGTCCTGAGTTCAATCCCCAATACTGGGGTGGGAGGAGATTAATCAGGAAAAGCTGACAAAGAAGGCAGAAAAGAAGCCATGGGCATGGAAAGGAAGATCGGCCCCACCCATCCATCTCTGGCCAAATGCAAAGGAGACAAGAGACAGCTAGCTAACTTTAAAAAGAAAGCTCTTATTTAGTATAAAAAGACACACACACACACACACACACACACACAAACACACACAAACACAAACATAAACATCCTTGAACCTCAATTCATGAATTCAATTCTGCGCATGATTCTGATCCCAAACTGAATTGAACTGGACAAGAATTAAATGAAATTTCCCCATTAGGTCAACACGAAATCTAACAAGAGAAATTGATTCGGTTCTCATCCAACTGGATTTGCAACCAGAATTGTGAAAAAAAAACAAGTTTGTGAATCGAGTTTTGTGTGTGTGCGTGTGTGTGTGTGTGTGTGTGTGTGTGTGTGTGTGTGTGTGTTCTCACTCTAGGGTCACTATTATTATTGCAATAGATACACATGTATGTCCTTGCTTAATCACTAACTCTAAACTGCCTTTTCTATGAGACTCCTCCCCAACCTGTAAATCCCAGAGATAAGATCCTGGCTAGGATAAAAAGGGTAGGAAGAAGTCAAACAAAGGCCGCCAGGAGGAATGTGCACAAGGGACAGATGTCTAGGTTAGGGTCTTGTGATCTAGGATCCATCCAAAGACAACCCAGGGAATCACTCTGTGACAGCTCCCAAGTATCCACCAGGAAGGAAGACCACCTAATAGAAGAAACCAGGGTCAAGGCCCTTGAGGATCCATCTTTTTCTGGACTCCTTGCCTCCTCTTTGGTGAAATTGTTTCTGCCTTCTATTTTTCTATTTTCATTTTCCTTTTTTAAACTCTGTCTCTCCAACTCAATATTGGTGCTAAGTTTTCAATCCAGGCTAGCTGCTCACCATGACATGACTACATTTAGAAGTTTTATCCTACATAATTCTCACAGCACTTTACAGACTGTCATAATTTCACTCAGCGGGAGGTTGAATCCAGGCCCTCGCGTGCTAGGGACGCACTCTACCTCTGACCCCCAGCCCTGTCACTTCCATTCCTCAGAGGGGACACAGGACAGAAGGGCTGCGTTGAAGTCCGTCACTTTTCATCCTTCCAACCTGGGCCACATGGCAGGAGTGACGCACGGTGAAGCCCTTTGGAGCCCTCCTTTTTTCTCTGGAAAAAGTCAGTCCTGTTTTCAGAGCCAGCCCCAAAGCAGAGGATGCACAGTGGCTCCGCTTGGGGTGTTCAGCCACCAGCTACTCCAGTCTCCTGTGCACGGGAAGCCGATCTGTGGGCCATCGGAGCTGGTGACCGATCCGAGGTTGCACAGCTCCAGGGTGGGAGTAGGAGGCACCGTGTGAGGTTCGGGCTCAGCCTCAGGTCTCAGGGACGGCTGGAGTCCTTCACAGGCACCTAAGGTTCAGGGGAGGAGGGCTAGGGAGGGCGAGGCTGGGCCCTGGGTCCCTGGGAAACAGCCCAGCAGGCAGCTACAGGCCCAGGGCCCCTGAGGCCTGCGGCCATGGCTGGTGGACAGGAAAACCGCTCTCACTTTCCTTTGGTGCCTCAGCGGGATGGGAGTGGGAGGCGGAAAAGGCAGGTGAGTGGAGCCAGCAGCCAAGGAGCTGCCAACACATCCCACCTCTCTCCCTGGGCAGGGGTGGAGTCCTGCCTGGGCCTGGCCCAGCAGGCAGGGAGGCAGTGGGAGAGAAGAGATGGGCAGGAGGAAGCGGTGCCCGGAACTGGCCGTGTCTAGTTGGCCTCCTTGCTGAGCCGCCTCAGTCACCCACCCGAGAAGGGCTTTGAAGGAAGGGTTCTGACAACTGCTTGCCTGGCACTGACTGTCACAAAAGATAGTTCCGCCAGAACAACAGATTTGCACAGTCCTTCCACAGGATATCTGTCCAGGGACCTCCGAGCGACGCCATTCTTGTGATCGCTCTCTTTGGCCTAGGTCTATTGTTTCAAAACATCTGACGTCATCCTTTTTTTGTTTTGTTTTGTTTTGAAAAAACTTCTGCTTGCCTTAACCTCTTTGAATCCACAGTTTCCTGTGTGTTCACACTGCAGTGCTTTGCCATTGCCCAATAAATATACATATTCTCTGGAGACTCTGATTTTTCAATTTAGGCTGCCCATCCTAGTGGGGAAGATGGCCTGCCTGGACCCAGGACCCAAATCACTGGATTCCAACTCCTGCATCTCTGACAACCAATCTGTTTCTGTTATCCAGCAGTTTAAAAGTGATTCACACAACAAATGTGTTCCAGGTCTTTCTTGTCTCAAACAAGACACAAACTACAAATGTTGTAAAAAGTTGATTTTGAAATGAGAGGTGAGCCGGGCATGGTGGCGCACTCCTGTAATCCCAGCACTCAGGAGGCTGAGGCAGGAGGATCGCTGTGAGTTTGAGACCAGCCTGGGCTACACAGTGAGTGTTCCAGGTCAATCTCAACTACATAGTGAGACCCTGTCTCAAAAAACAAACCAAAAAAAAAAGAAATGAGAGGTGAAAGAGTTTGGGAAGAACTGGCTCTGCAGAGCTAAAAGGAAGGAGAGGGAGAAAGGGAGAGGGAGAGGGAGAGGGAGAACAGAGGTGCATCCTGGGTTGGGAGACCCAGGCCAGGCTATAGTGAGCTCCACCCAGTGTCCAGATCTCCTGGAGCTGAGAAGCTCCTGGCACTCAGGGGTACTGGGATCTTTAAATTAGGAGGTCCAGCATACTTCCTCAAGGCTGTGATTGGGTTTGAAGATTGAAAGCTGTAGTTTGTTTCTCCTGCCAGCTTTGCCCTGCCCAATACCTACTTCATCTGTACCGCACTGAACAAACCCAGCCCTGTCAGGGAGGCTCACACTTCCCACACCGCCCCATGTAGGTCAGCTCCCGAGCAACACCACAGCCACTGCAAATTCAAGGTTCTTCAGAAATGTAAAAAACATCAGTAAATTGTATGGCAGGCAATATCCTTGTTGTAATAATATAGTTTTGCATAAGGTTATCCATAGGAAGATTGGAGAAAGTATACAGGGATCCCTCTACATTATTTCCTATACTTCCTTGAGTCTATAATTATATCAATGAGAGTTTTCATTTAAAAATTCTGTTGGAGTCAGGAACAGTACTCGAATAGGTATAAATGAAATAAGATGAGACAAACACTGATCATTGTTGGAACTGTTGGAACGTGGGGGTTATTTTGTTTGTTGTTTCTTTGTGGGAGGTTTTTTCCTTTTGCTGCTGTTCTTTAGTATTAGGAATCGAACTCAGGACCTTGTGTTTACCAGGCAGGAGCAGCACCACTGACATAGATGCCCAGCCAGTAAGTTCTTGTTTTCTTGAGGCAGGGTCTTGCTCCCAAGCGCGGGCTGGTTGATTTCAAACTCCAGGTAATTTTCCTCCTTCGGCCACCCAACTGGTGTGATTATCGGCATATAAAACCACACATGGTTCACAAGTGTTTTACTATCTTTTCTCTACTTTTTGATGTATTTGAATCTATCTGTTACTAAAGAGTTTTTATTTAAAGGAGGTAGACAGGGTAGGAAGCTCAGTGCTAGTGTTTGCCCGACATATTTGAGGCCCGGGTATCCAACACCAACACAGCAAAGAGGAAAGGTTAACAAAAACTAAACATTTAAAAAATAAAGAGCCTGAGGTAGCTATGTCACTGTAATAATGAAGTGAATGGGCCCATTTGACCAGAAACACTCAGCTAAATTGGATCAACACAGTTCTGAGTTTGGTGGAGGGAATTAATTAATTTTTTGTTGTTGTTGTTGTTGTTGGAGACAGGGTCTGACTATGTAGTTCAAACTGAGAGGATTCTCCTGCCTCAGCCTCCCACTTGCTGGGATTATAGAAGTAGACTACCAAGACTAGTCTGGAGATTGACTCAGAACAGAAGACCCACGCTAGGGAGGATTGCTGCCTGAGTAGTACAAAAGGGGAACTCAGAAGGAAGGAGCACTTGGACTACTTCTGAGGAGCTGCAGTCCTCACCTTCACCTTGGCTGGCATCTCTTGGCTTCCAGCGCAGACCCTTCGGCCTCCTGATACCAACTCCCAGGGCACACTACAGTGGCTCCAGGCCTTGCACCAGATCCTTCGGGTCTCCAGCACAGACAGACCGTTTTCACCCTGCCGCACTTGACTCTGTGGACGGCCACTGTGAGTCAACCTTGTAAATCCTCCTCTCTTTGCACATCTGGTGTGAAATCTGTTTCTCTAGCCAGCGCTGACTGGTGCAGTCACCCAGGAAGTGTTGGCGCTGAAGCTGCCCCCGGAGCCCTGGCTGTGCTGCTTTACAGGCCCTGAGCCACTGCTCAGCCATGACCTCGGTGCACGGAATCCTCAGCTTTCAACGCTCCTCAGGGTAAACACAGAGATGCAGACAAAACTTCTGCTTGCCCACCTGACCCTGTAGGCCACCAGGAAGTGGAAGCTGAAGGGTGACTTGAAGGAATAGAAACCTGGGGCTGAGTGGGGTGGTTTCAGACGAGAGGGGGGGGGTCCATGGTGTGGACACTCTGGCCTAAGATGGCTGAGCCTGGGGTCTCTGTCAAGTCCCTGGTGTCAGCTTCTGAGACCCGAGTAGTGAGAACAGCTCTGGGGCCGCCCCGAAAAAGGGGCTGTGTCTCCTCTCCTTGCTCGCCACGGGGAGCATCCCCTATCCGAGGGGCACCAGGGCCGCCACACCACCGGGGCCTTGGGGGGCCTGGGCAGCGGCCCTCGGCCTGCAGAGGGGTGGACAAAACCCTGCTGCCCCTGATTCTCTACTGTCACAGGTACAGGGGCCGTGGGACTGAGGCTGCCGCCAGCCCCCTCGGGGAGTCCGAGCAGCCTCCACGAAGGCCCCTGACTCCTCTCACCTCCCTCCTCCCTTTGTCTCTGCAGTGGCTCCAGCATGCTGACCGGCATTGACAACAAGATCGAACAAGCCATGGTAAGAGAGGACATCTCGGGTCTCAGTGTCGCCCCTGCTGGCCCCATTCCTCGGGAATACTAACTCTGCACCCGGGCCCTGGCCTGCCTTTGGGCCCCGGTGCCCATCCGGGTCTGAGCCCTGCCCCTGTCCCTCATCCTTGCCCCTCGCCCTCTGCCTGCCCTGGGTCCTCCCCCATCGCCCGTCCTCCTTGGCCACAGGGACCTCTCAGGCCACACCCTCCAGGCCCTGGGCAGGGGATGTGGATGGGTGGCCTGGCCGCCCTGACACTTCGCCTGTGCGGTCCTCAGGATCTGGTGAAATCCCACCTCATGTTTGCGGTCCGGGAGGAGGTGGAGGTGCTGAAGGAGCAGATCCGGGACTTGGCGGAGCGCAACGCGGCGCTAGAGCAAGAGAACCGCCTGCTGCGCACCCTGGCCAGCCCGGAACAGCTGGCCCAGCTGCCCTCCTCGGGGCTCCCCCGCCTCGGGCCCCCTGCACCCAACGGCCCCTCCATCTGAGCCTCCTGTGCCTCACAATGTGCCTTTGGGGCTGCCATGGCCGCAGGGCCTTGTGCCAGCTGCCTGCCCCCTCTTCCTATGCAGCTTTAATG